AATTACTTACTTTACTTAGTTACTTTGGTTACTAACTCGGGTCAGGTTGACCGTTCAATTACTTACTTTACTTAGTTACTTTAGTTACTTTACTTACTAACTCAGGTCAGGTTGACTGTTCAATTACTTACTTACTTTACTTACAAACTCAGGTCAGGTTGACCATTTAATCACTTACTTTACTTACTTTACTTACAAACTCAGGTCAGGTTGACCATTATATTACTTAATTTACTTACTTACTTTACTTACAAACTCAGGTCAGTTTGACTGCATCAAACTAAATGCACTAAATACAACAATCTAAACAACTTCATTTATTTTATTAAACTTTATGTAAGTATATTTATAATCAGCAGTAGATTTGTGGTAATTGGACTGCAATTATTAATAAAACTTGACATGGATTCAGACATTTTGGACTTAAGAATATTTCTGAGTACAGACAAATCTACATCATGTGTAACATGAAAGATAAAAAATAAGTACTAACACAAAATTATAATAAAAAGACATTGAATGTCTCCCACTCATACTCAGTTGGTTAAGGACTAGGACTTGTCTTGGACTCGACAAGGTGGACCAAACATTAATCAGCAGTACTTGACAATCAGTATTCATTGTGCATTAAGTTATGAATTGAATAAATCAGTGAATCTTTTTTATTATTCATTGAAATGAACTGTTTTGTTAATTCAGTCAAAACTGACAGTGTGTACACTCATTACCTCATTAGCTTTCTTTGATGTTATAAAGTGGTGTTGTAGTGTTCAGTCATGCTACACTGCTGCCGACAAAATAGCTTGTTATTGGAAAAGCTACAGTATTTTGAAAACACATGAGCTACTGTTAAAAAATGTAGTTGAGGGAGTAATGCTGCTGCTTTTAGGACGTTACTCCTCAACCCTGATTACAGCCTGCACATGTACAGTATGTGTACACAGCAATGCATCCATCATGTAAACGCTTCGCTGACTAATTATTGTTTTGCCTGCAGCCAGTGGCAGCTGTGTCTGACTGAAACTCTAGGGACATTAAAACAGATTTCCCATGATGCAACGTGTTGTAAAGATGATGTCACTAGGAATGTCATGAAGATTGTCAATAGAGTTATTCAGACACAGAGCGCTTGGCTGATAAGGATTGCATTGTGTTCATTCATTTGCATGTTATGTTTAATCTAAGGTCAAAGGTTAAGGGCAGTGTCTTATTTTTGAAAAATACATGTACAGATTTGATTATTACTTATTTAACATTAGGGATGTACCAAGGTTTTTAGAGTTAATAAAACCTAAAACTATATATATAAAAAAACATTTTTGTTACTTAAAATAAATGATAACTGAAATCTAATAACATATCAAATCTTACACTAATGTTATTTTAACTAGTTGCCAAAAAACATTTCTCATTATCATTTAGTTTAACTTGATGCTCTAAAATAACTAAAATAAAAATTAATTAAAACTTTTTTTTTTACATTTAAAAATAACTCAAAAAGTGGCAAAATCAGAATAAAATATTAAAACTTTAAATAAATAAAAATGATAATTGACAATATAAAAATAAAAACAATTAAAAATATTATTAAAAACTATAATAGTATTTCAATGATACTAAAATGCACACTGGAATACACAATATATAAGTGACCATATCAGTATTAGCCAATATTAGCATTAATTAAATATTGTTGTTGCTATTTTTATAATATTTTTAAAATGTTTTTAATATTATGTTTCTGAATAGTGTGTCTGAGCCACTGTTGTTTTAGTGTCATTTATATACTGTTATAGTTTTTGTTCATATTTTAATATATATTGTTTATATTTTATGTTTTTATTTTAATTTTAAAGTTTTAGTAATTTGTTAGTAAATTATATATTTTTTTAAAATAAAATATATATATATATATATATATATGTATATATATAAATTTTTTTATGAAGTTTTAGTTTTTTTTAATACTTCAACTTAAACTAAATGAAAATGAGAAATGTTGCCTTGGCAATATATATATATATATATTTATTTATTTATTTTCAGTTAATGTTGATTTTATTTCAAGTAATTGATTTTTATATATTTTTTAATGGTTTTAGTTTTAGTCAAAAATAACAACCCTGGTCCGAACAACATACATTTTTATCATTTTGATTATTAGTCATAACATAAAATTGTTTGCATTTTTAGAAGAGGATCTGAGTGGCAAACTTTAATAACCATGGTTAGCAGTGTCATAACTATATTAGAGAATTTCTCTTTGTTATTATTCATGTCTATGTTGATTAAACACATTTTCTGGTTCTGTCCTCAGGCCTGTATTGATGAAAATGCAGATATGGTTGAGTTTCTGGTGGAGAGCGGCAGTGACGTGAACAGAGGAGACAATGAAGGCTGGAGGCCCCTCCACGCCGCGGCCTCCTGCGGCTTCATCCAGATCGCAAAGTCAGTAACGCATTTCCACAATCTAGTGTGCTGCCTACCTAGATGACATGATGCTGCCTTCTAAGATGCCTTGTACCCCAAAATCATATTTGTGTACACATATATGTATAGCTAAATCTAATTAAAATGCATTGTGTTATGTGTTTTTAATTTTGTGTCAGATTTTATTGGAATCAACTGTAAGTGGAGTTGTAACTGTTTCACCGTTGCAACAATGTAATGTTTTTTTTTTTCTCTCCACCCGTTGCAGGTACTTGATCGAACACGGCGCTCATGTAGGTGCGGTGAACAGCGAGGGAGAACTTCCTCTGGACGTCGCTACGGAGGACGTCATGGGGAGACTGCTTAAAGCAGAGATCAAAAAACAGGGTGAGAGATTCAAACCCTAGAAATATGGAGTGAAAGAAGGAGTTTAGAGAAAGAAGGAGACTGTAGAAAGACAAAGAGATATCGCACCAGTGTTGGCATTGTTAACTAAATCTAAAACTATAAAAATAAAATAAAATACTTGAAAAACTTAAACCTAAAAAACTTGAAAATTAAAAATGATGCCTTGGCAAACAACTAAAATAAATGTTAAATTTGAAGTCCTAAAATTACAGAAACTAAAACTGAGAAAGAATAAAAAAACTAAAGCTATATAGAAATATATAAAAAAGAAACTAATAAAAATGACAAAAGCACAAAACAAAATTAAAATATTATATTAAAATATTAAAATAAATGTTACTTCAAAATATTAATAATTACTATAATAGTATATAAATAATACTGAAAAATAACACTGGTTTGCACGTATGATCAGTGCTAAAGATAAGCCTAAATGTTTCCAGAATGTTTTGTGCTTCATTCACTGAAGCTGCTTACAGATACATGTGATCTCATCGCATTTTCTGTGTAAAATTAATTTATCCTGATGCTTCAGACACAACAACAGTAAAGGACCGCCTACTCACCTGTAGGGCTGTGACGGTATGGGATTTTTCTTACCGCGGTGAAGACGCAACAAATCACCGCGGTTTGGCGGTTAATCGCAACCCCGCAGCGCACATTTATCTAGGTTAAACACTTAAACTAACATTGTGATATGCTTTAACTGTTTTATATCTATAGATTTTATTTTAGGCAAGTCGTGATGATTTGAGAAGGCTAAATTGATCAAACATAGGCTATGATCAGCTCACTGTCTGCCGCTGGCTGCTTGGTCATTACTTTAAAAAACAAAAACTTACATTTAATGAACAAAGAAATGCTCCAAACGTTTTTTTAAATTAACTTTATTAAAAAACGAAACGAAATATAATCACTTTTCCATTACATACAAAAAACTGAACTATTTTAATAGCTGAAACAGTTGTATAAGCTGTTTTGGGAGAAGGGGGAAAAAGACGGTCTCGGGACTATATTTGAAGCCTGTGCAGGGCTCTAATCCACTTCATCCAACGCTGTTTTGTTCCCTGCTGTTTTCATCTGTGAGCATGCTATTGATATATGCATTTTACCATTTTGTTGAGTTTAAAACGTGTGACACATTTTCGTGCAGACCCCCCCTAACGATTATTGTTTATAATTCATATCACACACCATATGCACTTCTGTAACTTTCACTAAAAAAAAAAAAAAGTGCGGTGATGACGGTGAAGACCTCAACACCGCGGTCGGCATCTAATTACCGTGGTTATGCGGTAATGCGGTTATCGTCACAGCCCTACTCACCTGTCAATCATTCATGCTAAACTTTACTGACTGCATAATTGTGTTTATATTAAAATAATTTTCTCATCAAAAAAGTACTTAAAAGACCTATTTTTGTGCAAAATATAATTTCTTATTTTTCCTTTCGATTTCTGATATTGGACTGTGACATTTCTTTGCGAGATTCCCATTTGAACAAATAAAGGTTGACATTATCTGTCTTAAACACACCATCTGTCTGATCGTGACCTGCTGCGTTTGATCCCATTAAAACCTTAATCGACGCACAAACGCTCACAGAAGCTCACTGTACATGTGTGTGTGTGTGTGTGTGTGTGTGTGTGTTTATAGGATGTTTGGTTTTAATAGGAACAGCATGTGAATTTCCCACATCAAAAACTTCATTAAAAACACTGGAGCTGCGCAAGGTTTTTATAAACTTCCTCCTGCAGCTCGTTAGCAGTGATCGGTTTTGTGGGTGTGTCTTTGTGTCCTGAAAGGAATAGTTCACACAAAAGTGAAAATTTGTTGAAAATGTCCATCCAAGATATAGGTGAGTTTGTTTGTACATTACAGCAGATTTGGAGAAATGTAGCATTATATCACTTGCTCATCAAATGGATCCTCTGTAGTGAATGGGTGCCGTCAGAATGAGAGTCCAAACAGCTGATAAAAACATCACAATAGTCCACAAGTAATCCACACCACTCCAGTCCATCAATTAATGTCTTGAGGAGTGAAATGCTGCGTGTTTGTAAGAAAAAATCCATCATTAAGGTGTTTTAACTTCAAACTGTTGTTAAAATGCGAGTCTTCTATCCATAATATGTTGCTTCCTCCAGTGAAAAAGTCATCTCATCTGAATCAGGAGAGAAATCTGCACAGACCAAGCACCGTTTACAAGCTGAAACAGTCCAAAACAGCTCTAAACAAATATGTGGGTGGATTTTGATGTGAGAGACAACAGAAGGTGGACATTTTCACTGGAGTAAGCATTATTATGGATTATGGACTCGTATTTTAGCCAGAAGTGACAGTTTAAAGTTAAAAAACATCTTAATAATGGATTTGTTTCTTACAAACATGCAGTTTTTCACTTCATAAGATGTTAACTGATGGACTGGAGTGGTGTGGATTATTGTGATGTTTTTATCAGCTGTTTGGACTCTCATTCTGACGGCACCCATTCACTGCAGAGCATCCACTGGTGACCAAGTTATGCAATGCTACATTTCTCAAATCTATATCGTGGATGGCCTGAGGGTGAGTACGTTTTCAGCAAATGTTCATTTTTGGGTGAACTATAACTTTAAGTCCTTAAGAACAAACTGATCTTGAACCAACAAAAACTCATGGTTCCTCAAATGACCTGTAATATATTAATATGTTATGAAATCTAAAAAAATGGAATGTGCTGCCTGAGAAAGCATTATAATTTTTAATGAATTTTCAGGTATTGATGTGGATCAGGCCAGGAGAGAGGAAGAGAGAGTGATGCTCCAGGATGCGATGGCTGTGTTGGCAGGAAGTGGCTCTCTGGCCCCTCATCCGAACACTCAGGCCACAGCGCTGCATGTCGCTGCTGCTAAAGGATACATTGAGGTCTTAAAGTAAGTGCAAGACACTTCATACTAAACACTAAATGACTAAAAAGTCGATTTTGGATTTAATGAATATTTTGATATAACACGTTATAGACCTAGGGATTTGCTTCGCCCTCTCCAAAGTTTGTTGAAACTTTGATACTTTCCATACTTCAAAAGTTGTGAGATTTTTAAATGTTTTCAAAAGCAGTCTCTTCTGCTCACCAAGGCTGCATTTATTTGATCAACATTACAGTAAAAACTGTAATATTGTGAAATATTGTTACAATTTAAAATAACTGTTTTCTATCTGAATGTATTGTAAAAATTTATTTTTGTGATGCAAAGCTGAATTTTCAGCATCATTACTCCAGTCTTCAGTGTCACATGATCCTTCAGAAATCAGTATAATATGCCGATTCTTCTTATTATCAATGTTAAAGACAGTTGTGTTGCTTCATATTTTTTTGTGAAAACTGAGACATTTTTATAGGATTCTTTGAATAGAAAGTTAAAAAGAACAGCATTTATTTGTAACAGAAATCTTTTGTAACATTATAAATGTTTTTAAGTTGTTTTGGCCAGTTGTACAACTAGCCAATCGGAAAGACTCTTTGCCTGTGAATCAATTTGTTTGTGTTTGGGATTGTGGGTGTCATTGAAGTTGTGAAACGTCTGAAATCAGACTTTTTGTTCAATGATTCAGAATCATCATGAAACTTGTTATTTTTTTTCCTAGCTCTCCTTTCAAACCATTCAAGTCTTTGTGTTTCTCTGCTCATCAGGGTGCTGTTGAAGTGTGGGATAGATGTGGACAGTCGAGACAGTGATGGCTGGACGGCTTTTCACGCTGCGGCTCACTGGGGACAGGAAGAGGCCTGCATTCTGCTGGCTGAACACATGTGTGACATGAGCATCATCAGTAACGTGGTACGGGGGTCTATTATCACCCTAACGGGGTTTTTTTTATTTTTTATATACAATAATGACAGGCTTGAGTGTAAGTTTATGGTGGCTAATACATGGCTGCTTAAGGGATAGTTCACCCAAAAATGAAAATTATCCCATGATTTACTCACCCTCAAGCCATGGAGGTGTATATGACAGCTATGGCTTATTTATGGTAAAATAAAATTATTAGAGATAACCATCATCGAATTGATGAATTCAATTATGAAGTTAAAAATGACAAACTATCAAATAAATAAAATACTGAAAAATAAAAACAAATACTGTAATAGATATAGAATTATTTTTATTATTATTATTAAAATATTTTTAATATATAAATGTAAAAATGCAAATATGCTTAATTTGCTTCATGCCGAATATAATTTCTTTTGATTTTGTGAGGATATATGACTTGGACATATTCCAAGACTATTTCTGACAGATTTACCCTTAATTATGCTAAAATAAAAAGGTGAGGGATAGTTATGATTGAATTGATGATGAATTAATAAGAGCTGTTGTTGATGTTTGTAACTCCTAAAGATGCGTTTAGAGAAACAGAAGATCCAGACACCCGTCATCGAGACCAGCCCACCTGTTTCCATGGCACCAGCTCGCCCTCGCAGGTAACATCCAATCACGTGTCTGCATAGAAACACATCACTTCCTGTGTGACAAAACCCAGAATGATTCACCAAGTCAACACTCTGAATCACTGAATCAGAGTGTTGAATCAAAAACGGATTCATTATTGAATATTGCCCCGAGTATGTATTACATCACATGACACATTCTCAGCTCTCACTGATTGGCTGATTTTCATGTCACCTGCAGGACGTCCATCTCTCGTATGAGCAGTAAAGAGAAGATCACCCTGCATGAGCGAGAGAAACATGCTCCGCCCACACTCCAGACTCCGCCCACAGAAGAAGACGAAGACGAGTCGACACGCACAGCAGGCCAATCCAAACCCTCCAGCAGCTCCAGTTCAGAGGAAGAGAGCGAATCAGAGAGTGACGCCGAGTCAGGTGATCGAACCCCGCCCATTTTTATTCTGGAACTCAAAAATCACATTAGCTAACTGATGATTTTTGTCTGTATCTTTTTCAGAAAAAGCAAAAACTCGAGAAATGATTAACAACTTGAACAACAAACGCAATGCAGCGCCCGCCGCGAGTTCTGTGACCAGCACTGCCCTTAACCAGGTTAAAAAGGTGACCAGAGAACTACTAATGCATTAAACTTGCTCAAAGCATTGAATTTTCTGAAACGTTTTTTTTCCCGTTTTGCTGATTTGCAGAAAATTTGATGTCGTTTAGAGTTTGAAAGTCCAAAACAATTTGACAATTTTCTGGCTTTTCCATATGGACTTATTGTTGATGATTTTCTGAATCCAGCCACAAGATATTAGTGCTAATATATACTAAAATAGTCACAAATCAATTGATATGGCCACTAACAGCCAGATCAGCAGCCAAAAATTATAATTTGAGTGGCTGATGATAATAAAATTATCAGTAATAAAACCCAATCATTGCTGTGGCTATATTTGAAAATTAATTATTCTTGAGTTTTGGTGTGAAAGAAATATATTATATATATATATATATATATAATCAGTCTTATTTTAGTATTTTAGACATATTATTATAGTATTTGTTAGTATTTTTAATTAGTTTTAATATTGTTGTATTTTTTTTATTTATTTTTTTTATAAATATGTCTATGTAGTTTTTATTAATTTTTATTTCCATTTAGCTTTAGTTGTTTTAGTACGTCAAGTTAAACTAAATGAAAATGAATGAAAAAAGTTTTTTTGTCAACTAGCTGAATTAAAAAAAAAAATTTATTTCAATAATGAAAATGGTCTTGTTTTACTTTTAGTTAACTTTAATAACCATTATATAAGACTTACATAACTATAATAAGCCTTTCATATAATATAATATAATACAATACAACACATATAACATATTGCTCAAAAACAGAACCATCATAACCATCTAGCCCTTATACATATTAATGTGTAAATATGTAATATATAAAATATTTGAATGTGTTTGTAACTGTATAATATAATATAATAGTGTGTGGTCTGCTTGTAGGCTGAACCCGTCCGGACCCCGGTGACAGAGGCTCCAGGTTCCTGGAGAACGTCTTTGCGTAAAGCAGGCAGTTCTGTGACGTTGGGCTCTGCTGGGGCCTCTGATCCAGCCAGCGAGGCCCTCAAGGACCCCGAGACTACACTGGGAATGACACGCTCTGCATCTAGTCCCAGACTGAGCTCTGAGTCTGACAGTAAGGTAACAGACACAGATACTGTATGTTCTGTATGGGTGGGTGGTATTAATTTGATCAAAAGTGTCAGTAAAGACATTTAAAATGTTACAAAAGATTTCTATTTGAAATATATGCTGTTTTCTTTAACTTTCCGTTCATCAAAGAATCCTGAAAAAAATGTATCATGGTTTCCACAAAAATATTAAGCAACCCAACTGCTTTCAACATTGATAATAATAACAAATATTAGAAAGACTGAAGTAATGGCTGCTGAAAATTCAGCTTTGCATCACAGGAATATATTACTTTTTAAAATATATTCACTATTTTAAATTGTAATAATATTTTACAATATTACTGTTTGTACTGTATTTTTGATCAAAAGAGACTTCTTTCTCACCCTTTTCAAAAACATTTAAAAATCAAATAATTTATAAATTATAAAAAAATAACAAATTGTTTAAAAACTGTACCATCATAACCAGCCCTTATACATATTAATGTATATGTTATGTTATGTGTTATATGTTATGTTATGTGTTGTGTTGTGTTGTGTTGTGTTATGTGTTGTGTTATGTTATGTTATGTTATGTTAAAATTATGTCATTTCCTGTGTTCAGGAGCCCAGGTTGGCCCGTGTTCAGCCCACTCCGTCCAGACGCCTGTTCAGCATCTCCGACACCAGCACCAACCCTGAACACTCCAGCAGGTGAGAGACGGGAAACACAAAGAGTATTACCTGTTCTGAGAGTTTTCCAAGCTCATCCATCCTCCTGTGTGTGTGTGTGTAGCTTGTTGAGCCGGAGCTCTTCTTACACGCGCCGATTGAACAGCCAGACCGGCGGTGAAGTGTCGGCTCAGAACCCCTCGTTACCTCGCAGCTCATCTTATGGAAGAAAACTTGACGACCCTTCAGTGACCTCTGTAACCACAGCAACCTCTGGACTGAGTCGCCTCAATAATCTGGTGGCTCAGAGGTGCGTGTGTCTCTGATCGCGTGACTCGAACGCATCTTTTTTTGCATTCGTACGATCTGGTGTCTCTCTCACAGGTCGGCTCAGGAAGAGGCCGAAAAGAAGCCCGTCTCGAATTCTGTAACCACGTATATATATATTCAGTATATATATAGTATAATTGTTATAAATAGATTTTGAATATATAAATATATAAAGGCAAATATGTTTAATTTTCTTCATGCAGAATATATATTTTTTTTTATTAAGCTGTGATATGACTGACATATTCTTGACAGCTATGGCTTATTTATGGTAAAATAAAATTATTAGAGATAACCATCATCGAATTGATGAATTCAATTATGAAGTTAAAAATGACAAACTATCAAATAAATAAAATACTGAAAAATAAAAACAAATACTGTAATAGATATAGAATTATTTTTATTATTATTATTAAAATATTTTTAATATATAAATGTAAAAATGCAAATATGCTTAATTTGCTTCATGCCGAATATAATTTCTTTTGATTTTGTGGGGATATATGACTTGGACATATTCCAAGACTATTTCTGACAGATTTACCCTTAATTATGCTAAAATAAAAAGGTGAGGGATAGTTATGATTGAATTGATGATGAATTAATAAGAGCTGTTGTTGATGTTTGTAACTCCTAAAGATGCGTTTAGAGAAACAGAAAATCCAGACACCCGTCATTGAGACCAGCCCACCTGTTTCCATGGCACCAGCTCGCCCTCGCAGGTAACATCCAATCACGTGTCTGCATAGAAACACATCACTTCCTGTGTGACAAAACCCAGAATGATTCACCAAGTCAACACTCTGAATCACTGAATCAGAGTGTTGAATCAAAAACGGATTCATTATTGAATATTGCCCCGAGTATGTATTACATCACATGACACATTCTCAGCTCTCACTGATTGGCTGATTTTCATGTCACCTGCAGGACGTCCATCTCTCGTATGAGCAGTAAAGAGAAGATCACCCTGCATGAGCGAGAGAAACATGCTCCGCCCACACTCCAGACTCCGCCCACAGAAGAAGACGAAGACGAGTCGACGCGCACAGCAGGCCAATCCAAACCCTCCAGCAGCTCCAGTTCAGAGGAAGAGAGCGAATCAGAGAGTGACGCCGAGTCAGGTGATCGAACCCCGCCCATTTTTATTCTGGAACTCAAAAATCACATTAGCTAACTGATGATTTTTGTCTGTATCTTTTTCAGAAAAAGCAAAAACTCGAGAAATGATTAACAACTTGAACAACAAACGCAATGCAGCGCCCGCCGCGAGTTCTGTGACCAGCACTGCCCTTAACCAGGTTAAAAAGGTGACCAGAGAACTACTAATGCATTAAACTTGCTCAAAGCATTGAATTTTCTGAAACGTTTTTTTTCCCGTTTTGCTGATTTGCAGAAAATTTGATGTCGTTTAGAGTTTGAAAGTCCAAAACAATTTGACAATTTTCTGGCTTTTCCATATGGACTTATTGTTGATGATTTTCTGAATCCAGCCACAAGATATTAGTGCTAATATATACTAAAATAGTCACAAATCAATTGATATGGCCACTAACAGCCAGATCAGCAGCCAAAAATTATAATTTGAGTGGCTGATGATAATAAAATTATCAGTAATAAAACCCAATCATTGCTGTGGCTATATTTGAAAATTAATTATTCTTGAGTTTTGGTGTGAAAGAAATATATTATATATATATATATATATATAATCAGTCTTATTTTAGTATTTTAGACATATTATTATAGTATTTGTTAGTATTTTTAATTAGTTTTAATATTGTTGTATTTTTTTTATTTATTTTTTTTATAAATATGTCTATGTAGTTTTTATTAATTTTTATTTCCATTTAGCTTTAGTTGTTTTAGTACGTCAAGTTAAACTAAATGAAAATGAATGAAAAAAGTTTTTTTGTCAACTAGCTGAATTAAAAAAAAAAATTTATTTCAATAATGAAAATGGTCTTGTTTTACTTTTAGTTAACTTTAATAACCATTATATAAGACTTACATAACTATAATAAGCCTTTCATATAATATAATATAATACAATACAACACATATAACATATTGCTCAAAAACAGAACCATCATAACCATCTAGCCCTTATACATATTAATGTGTAAATATGTAATATATAAAATATTTGAATGTGTTTGTAACTGTATAATATAATATAATAGTGTGTGGTCTGCTTGTAGGCTGAACCCGTCCGGACCCCGGTGACAGAGGCTCCAGGTTCCTGGAGAACGTCTTTGCGTAAAGCAGGCAGTTCTGTGACGTTGGGCTCTGCTGGGGCCTCTGATCCAGCCAGCGAGGCCCTCAAGGACCCCGAGACTACACTGGGAATGACACGCTCTGCATCTAGTCCCAGACTGAGCTCTGAGTCTGACAGTAAGGTAACAGACACAGATACTGTATGTTCTGTATGGGTGGGTGGTATTAATTTGATCAAAAGTGTCAGTAAAGACATTTAAAATGTTACAAAAGATTTCTATTTGAAATATATGCTGTTTTCTTTAACTTTCCGTTCATCAAAGAATCCTGAAAAAAATGTATCATGGTTTCCACAAAAATATTAAGCAACCCAACTGCTTTCAACATTGATAATAATAACAAATATTAGAAAGACTGAAGTAATGGCTGCTGAAAATTCAGCTTTGCATCACAGGAATATATTACTTTTTAAAATATATTCACTATTTTAAATTGTAATAATATTTTACAATATTACTGTTTGTACTGTATTTTTGATCAAAAGAGACTTCTTTCTCACCCTTTTCAAAAACATTTAAAAATCAAATAATTTATAAATTATAAAAAAATAACAAATTGTTTAAAAACTGTACCATCATAACCAGCCCTTATACATATTAATGTATATGTTATGTTATGTGTTATATGTTATGTTATGTGTTGTGTTGTGTTGTGTTGTGTTATGTGTTGTGTTATGTTATGTTATGTTATGTTAAAATTATGTCATTTCCTGTGTTCAGGAGCCCAGGTTGGCCCGTGTTCAGCCCACTCCGTCCAGACGCCTGTTCAGCATCTCCGACACCAGCACCAACCCTGAACACTCCAGCAGGTGAGAGACGGGAAACACAAAGAGTATTACCTGTTCTGAGAGTTTTCCAAGCTCATCCATCCTCCTGTGTGTGTGTGTGTAGCTTGTTGAGCCGGAGCTCTTCTTACACGCGCCGATTGAACAGCCAGACCGGCGGTGAAGTGTCGGCTCAGAACCCCTCGTTACCTCGCAGCTCATCTTATGGAAGAAAACTTGACGACCCTTCAGTGACCTCTGTAACCACAGCAACCTCTGGACTGAGTCGCCTCAATAATCTGGTGGCTCAGAGGTGCGTGTGTCTCTGATCGCGTGACTCGAACGCATCTTTTTTTGCATTCGTACGATCTGGTGTCTCTCTCACAGGTCGGCTCAGGAAGAGGCCGAAAAGAAGCCCGTCTCGAATTCTGTAACCACGACAACCACATTAGGCGAGCCAGAGACCAAACAGAGACGCAAGTGAGTGTGTGATGATTTCCAGTGCTAATAAACCTCTCTCCTGCTGGAAAAAAACACGTCATACTAACCAGAAGAACTTTCTTAAAACACTGTGAATGATTAATATGTGCACTCTGTGTGTGTGTGTGTGTGTGTGTGTGTGTGTGTGTGTGTGTGTGTGTGTATATATACATATATATATTAGAGATGTGCGGATCAGCTCAAATGTAAGAATAAGAAGTTGTCACTGCAAATTCCCGAACAGGCGAATGCTAGGGCTGGGCGATATGACCAAAAAATCATATCTCGGTATCATATTTTCTACATTTTGCTATTTGGATGAAAAAAAGAATCCGTTTTTTTTTATTTATTATTATTTTACGTCCTGCCCAATGTTGTCCGAAGAAACAATGTTCATATTAAAAGCTATTAAAACAAATATAGTGAATGTAACCATGTAGGCTAGGCTATAATAGCCTATGTGCATAAAAAGGGTTAAAATCACGTTACATTCTAACATTGCAACATTACAATCTAAAAACAAATATAATGCTTCTTCAGGCAGAAGTTGAAAAAGAAGTGAGAAAGCACAGACTAATTGTATTAGGCTGTATTGATGACCCCATTACAATAGTCTGACTTTACAGTTAGGCTACTGCTCTCATAAAAATACACTTACTTGTAGGTTTAAAATTATTCATATGGCACATTTATTGCCCAACAAGAAATGTATTGGCAAAATGTGTATTTTATTCAGAATTATTTAGTCAGAATCATTGCGCTCGTTCACTGAAGTATGTCAAGTTTAGCAGAGAATCGCATGCAGAAGGCTCATCCACTCCTGACAGGAAAATGTATACCTGTGAAATGTAAGTTCTGCACTGAGGAAAACAGCACATCTCAAACACATTAAACCGCTCATGTAGCCTGTCTGACAGCAGCACATGAGTCTGTCAGAGCCACTTTAAACTACACGTGTTAACTATATCTTACCAGTTATTTAAAAGCCCTTAATATAAAGCATGTCTCATGTTTAGAACAAATTATTATGCACTTTCCCCGCAGCAGCTCACTCAGTGTCCTCCGCTACTTTTCAGATGCGCTCATATCAAACTACTGTAGGCCCATATCAATATAAACAGTATTGCCATTAGTAAAAAATATATCGATATATCGCACAAACTTGATATACTGCCCAGCCTTAGTGAACGCACACACACACAAAAATGAAATATGTTGAGCCCGTCTGTCTGCCTGATGATAAAGATGCATTTTAAAACACGTTCATATTTTAGAAAATGTAGTTAATATTTGCATCGTTAATGATCTATCTCATCCACCCGCAATTAATCAGAATGTATTTTTTTTATTTCCCAACCCGTGGATTATCCGCAGCATGCATCACTAATATATATATATATATATATATATATATATATATAATCGGTGCATTTTATGCATTGGTGCATTTGGTGCATCATATATATATAACATTGTAAATCAACTAAATATATATAAATATTATATTTTCTAACTTAATCTGATATTTCAAATGCATGCAAATAATTTCAGTTTCACTTCTTATACTGTTGTCACTTCCAGCCTAAAAAATAGCAGAGGAAGAGAATGCTTGGAAACAATGATTAGCAGTGTTTGCAAAGTCAAGAATCACTATTTTAATCAAACTATGCTACACCATAAGCACAAATAACACATTTCACCTGTGTGTTTGTATGTAAATATATGCATATATA